CGAACCAATTAAGTGAACTAATTGTCTCCTGAAAGCTCAACTCCACTTTTGCTCCTCTTTTATTCCCTATGGGAGGAGCCATTCACCATCCACCTGTGCCTTTATTCCTGAGTTGACCCTTGTTCCTTAGCAATTCCTTTCTCCTGGCAGCTCTGCGCATGTGCACACTGGGAACAGGCTCCAGCTGTTCTTCTGCCTCACTGATGTCTGACTCCGAAGGCAGCTGATAACTGTCAGACGGCCCTGGCCCCATATCTGCCTCCAACGCAGATCCCTCGTCAGAGCCTTTCCCAGACTCCAGGATTTGCCTAGGTTCCTCCCCAACCTCCTCACTGTCTGAGTCTGCTGCAGATCCATTGACAGGCCGCAACAGGATTGTAGAGAAATCCCAACATGACAGCTTTCCCCTTGGAGGGTGAGAAGTGGGTAGATTTAGACTGAGGAAAAGACAGAGCTTTGGATCTCACCCAGGTAGCCCTTGTGTCAGAGTTCCAAGTAATAGATCCATATATTAAGCAAAACTCTGAGGCAAGTAGATTCCTCAAAGAATAGCTTTATTGGAAATGTCATATTGGCACATATCTGGTGAAAACCGACTCTGAAGGTTCCCACGGTTTTCACCTAATTAAAGCTAAAAGTTTGTCACTTCCTCAAAATAATCAGTCGCGTGGTCCAATCACGGTGCTGTCTTGTTGCCTGGTGACATCGCTCCGCCTCCCTCTGACCAGGTGTGAGAATGTCCTTGGTGCCCAAGAGAAAGTATTTTGTCATTTTGGGGCTCCAGGCCAGTCTCTTGATTTGTCCGACCCTGTCTTGAGCCTCCATGTTCTCCTCTCTCCAGAAAATGCCACTTTTAACTCCAGCAGTGAGGCTGAAAGGAAGACCCAGCGCTATTACTTGTCCTGCCTCAGAGAACAGAAGATCGAGGAACTGGGGTCTCAGCCACTGATTGATCTGATCGAGAAGGTGAGTCCGGGGGTCAATTGGGCACAGCCAGGGTTGTTGGAAGGCTGGAGGGCGCTTGATGTACAAAGCGAGGGCCAATAAATTCTTGCCCCGTATTAACCGTGTTGTACCCAACAAGCTTAAATAGCAATAGCAATAGCAGTTAGACTTATATACCGCTTCATAGGGCTTTCAGCCCTCTCTAAGC